ATATATATATATATATATACACCCACACATAAAGGAAGCAAACACACACTAAAAACCTTTAGAAATTTAACTATACAAACATTAAGAATGAATCCTATTAGGGCTGGATAGGTGGCTCAGTGGTTAAGAGCACTGGGTGCTCTTGCAGAGGTTCCCAGCACCCATATGGTGGTTAACAACCACCCATAACTCTAATTCCATGGGATCCAATGCCCTCTTCTGATTTCTGTGAGCACTGCATGCATGGGTTCACTTACATACATGCAGGCAAAACACTCATACTCATAAAATAAAAATAAACAATCTTTAAAAAGAGCTGGGCGTGGTGGCGGACACTGTTAGTCCCAGGAGAGGCAGGTGGACCTCTGTGAGTTCAAGGCCAGCCTGGTCTACATAGTGAGTTCCAGGAGAGCTGGGACTACAGAGAGACCCTGTCTCAAAATGACCAAAAGAAAAAAAAAGTTTAAAAAAGAATGAATGGAAAGCTAGGCGTGGTGGCGCATGCCTTTAATCTCAGCACTCAGGAGGCAGAGGCAGGCGGATCTCTGTGAGTTCAAGGCCAGCCTGGTCTACATAGTGAATTCCAGGACAGCTGGGGCTATAGGGAGACCCTGTCTCAAAAAAAAAAAAAGAATGAATGGGGCTGGAGAGATGGCTCGGCAGTTAAGAACACTGACTGTTTTTACAGAAGACCTGGGTTCAAATCCCAGCACCCACATGGCAGCTAACAACTGTCCATAACTCTAGTTCCAGGGGATCTGACAGCCTCTTCTGTCCTCCATGGGCACTGCATGACATGGGTGCACTTACCTACATGCAGGCAATACACTCATAATAAAAATAAATACAATATTAAAAAAAAAGAATGAATGTTATAACCATAAATATTCTTATAATTAGGTACATATTAAATCGTTTACCTTTTCTGAATGATTAAGCATGTCTTGAGCCTCTTTTCTTTCTCCTTCTACTCGTTCAAGATTATGTTTGAGATGCTTCACCTCCTCTAGTAAAGATGTAATTCGAGCTATCAAGCGAGGAAAAAGGTTAAAGTTCATTAACATTGAAAGAAACATCTTTTTGTTCAGAATAATGAAGATTAAAAGATGTACTGATTTATCTGATCAGATAGAATTCATTAAGAGCTTTCTTAGTATATATAAACACAAAATAACATCAATGGTAACTGGATATCACCTAGTGCATACTGTTTTACAAGCAGTTAAAGTGATGAGGCCTGAGTGTGGTTAGAAGTCAGAACCAAATCCTTACTGACTGTTCTTTTCTACCATGTTAAAGTTGATAACCTTTAATTAATAAAGGGTATTTACTAAAGGGCTATGACTATGCCAGACATTTAAAACTGTTTATGAAACTATTCTTAAACCCAATGGAGCCAAATTCCATTTTTATAGAAAACTAAGTTCTAAAGAATTTAAGGACTCTTACAAAGCTTAGTTTTAACTTGCCTGATGTGTGTACTTTGTTAATGGTAGTAACTCATATAATTTAGTAACTTTACTAAAATGCTTTAATCCTATAGATAGTGAATAAACATTTGAGAAATACACAAACTTAATAAATATGGACTTCAGCCAAAGTAAATATAGCATCTAGCTACATAGTATCTATGTTATATTTGTCATTCACATGGAAATGGACAAGGCCCTCTGAAGCACTCTGAGCCAAAGATTCTATACTATTCAAACTACAATTTAAGTTATATGCTTGCTCAAGGCTCAAATGTATTCTACTGCCTCTCATGTTTTAGTGGTTCTGAAGTAGTTTTGTAATAAATAAAAGAACACTAAATTTGTCTTGATAACATTTGTCTGCTACATGAGCTTTGAAATATAGAGAACAATGATGTAACTATATTTACCCATACAATATTATATTCTTGGAGTATGTTCATATAGGAAGAAGAAACATCAGTGGTTTCTTTCAAAAATAAAAAAAATACTTATGTATTTATATGGAAATAGACAAACCAAGTGTATCAAGATTTTTAAAAAATATTTTATTTATTAATTTTATTTTCTATATATCAGTGTGTTGGCTGCATGTGTGTAAGTGCACCTGTGTCGTGCAATGCCTGTGGAGGTCAGAGGAGGATGCTGGATCCCTTGGAACTAGCTGTAAGGACAGTTAGCTGCCATGTGGATGCTGATAATCAAACCCGGGTCTTCTGCAAGAGCAGCCAATGCTCTTAACCACTGAGCCATCTCTTCAGCCCCCGTACCAAGATGTTTAAATGCTATGTAAGAAAATGGCTCCTCCTCCTGGGGCTGGAGAGATGGCTCAGTGGTTAAGAACACTGGTTATTCTTGCAGAAGACCCAGGTTCGAAT